CAGGACTACCAATTCACGACGATTTACCGCAAGGGGTTGCGCCACTCGAACGCGGATGCATTGTCACGGTTGCCGACGCGTACGGAATGCGCATGTCAGTTGGGATCGGCGCGGTGTAAACCTTCTGTCGATGTCCCCGCGGAAGTGGTGCTAGCCGCCACGGATACTACGGGGGTCGACGCCCCCACGGGGAGGGACTCGCTGTTAGCATTGCCTCTCATCGAGTGGGGCCGTCTGCAAATGGCCGACAGCTCCCTACTCGCGCTACGTCGGAAGGTTAACGTTCCCGAGGGCGGGGAAACGCGGGTCGGTTCCTGGGTGTGCAGACAGGGCCTCTTGATGAAGTGGGACTCCATGTCCCGGCGTCACATGCTTGTGGTGCCGGTTGCTGTACGGGGTAAGGTCGTCCTGGCTGCCCATGAACGACTCATGCATCTGGGGTTTCATAAAACGCTCGCCCTCATTCAGCGAGACTACTATTGGCCTGGGATGGGCAGTGACGTGGCGAACATTCTTAAGGGGTGTGTAGGGTGCGCTAAAAGAAAACCGCCACAAATAGCGGCTAATCCACCGCTTCAATCCATTCAAGTTTCGCGCACGAACGAATTGGTCGCGCTAGACATCTTGGGGCCCTTTCCCACTACACCTCGGGGAAATAAGTTCCTGCTGGTTGGCGTAGAGTACTTCACCCGCTGGCCCATGGCGTGGCCACTCGCCAACCAGTCGGCTGCGGCAGTGGCGGACGCCTTTGTCCAAGGTTACGTTTTGGACAAAGGCGCCCCCGAACGCTTGCTGACGGATCAAGGAAAAAACTTTTCGAGTGTTTTGTTGCGCGAGGTGTGCGACCTGTTGGGTACAAAGAAAGTACGTACCTCCCCGTACCACCCGCAGACTGACGGTATGGTTGAACGTCTGAACAGGACGATTACGTCTATGCTGTGCCAACAGGTATGCGACGACCAGGTGGATTGGGACTTACAGGTACCGGGGGTACTAGCGGCCTATCGGATGGCACCCCATGCGGCGACGGGGTTTTCTCCATTTTTTCTGATGTATGGGCGGGAGGCTGATCCGGCCATGGACGTCCAACTGGGGATTTCACAGCCACGTGCGAAATCAAAATTGGCAGACCACATTAAGTTTAACATCGCCAAATTGGCTGAGGCGCGAGAGGCTGCGAGATTGAATTCACGCTCTCGGCAGATCGCGAACGAGCGATTGCGTGAACGGAAGGTGCATACGCACAATTGGGAACCGGGCGATAAGGCCTGGCTGCATTGTCCACACGCACCGTTGGCTACGTCCCCCAAACTGTTGAGACCATGGAGGGGACCGGTGGAAATTGTGCGGGTTGCACGACCCCAGAGTATACAGATTAAATGGGGAAAACGTCGTTGGTACGTGCACTCCTCCCGACTGAAACCCTACGCGGCGCCGCGTGACCCCGGGTTGTGCCGTGACGACCGAGCGTGTGATGTGACCGTCGACTCGGGGAGGGATGTGTCGCAGGCTGATCCTCACGTGTCTCCACCTGACCCACCCCCAGGTGTCTCGGACCTGACGGCTGTTGACCGTCGGGAACCGGAACCCCGCGGCTCGCACGGAGCCCCGATGCCTGGCCCATGCCTTCCTGAACTGCCGGCGCCGCCGGATGGCCAACTGCGTCCTGTGCCGTACGACGGTCCGGCAAGGCGGACTCGGTCAAGGACGCAACACTTTTCATGAAGAAAAAAAAAAAAAAAAAAAATTTTTTTTTGTTAAAGCCCGACTTCGTTGCCGGCTTCCCCCTCTGCCGGGGTAATGTCCCGTTCAAGGGACGCTCGGACATTGGGACGCTGCATGAGTCGGAGAGAAAAGAAGAGAAAATGATTAAAGAAATTTTTTTATTGTTACTCTTTCCGCATACACAGTATCGTTGCCATTCGCCGGATTGTGCATGTTGTTCTTGTTGCGGGTGTGGCGGTTGCTGGGTTTTGCGGATTGCGGTGTTCATGTTGTGTTGTTAGGGTTTGTGTTATGTTACGGGGCACACGTGGGGGTGAAGGGGTGTTGTATGTTTTATTAGCAGCCGGGTCGGCTGCGAGCTATGTGGTAGGGGGTGATGTAGTGGTGGTATTGACGTGCGCCGGCAGTGATGGATCACGGGGCGCGGGGTTGGGCACGCGGTGTGGGCGTGGCATGGACGCGCGCGCCGGTGGTGAGGCGCGCTCACACAAGCTGGGAAAAGAGGATCGTAGCGAGTGCGCAGTGATTGGTCAGATAAGTGAGTACTCTCAGCGACGTCCGCAGGAGGGGTATAAAGGGGGACGCGCGAGAGCACTCGTGGTCAGTGTTAACCAGTTGAAGACCGAAGACGGGGTGGAGGAGGTAGGGGCCCTGTGTGGCTCGGAGCCGAGACTGGGGGGACCGTAGTCCGACGCCCGTGTGGGTCGGGACGGTGGTACCCAGAGCCGAGACGGGCACCCCGGCTGGGTGTGTCCCGGAAGGCTACAGGGCGTAAGAGCCCGTGTCAGTACAGCTGAGTGGGTGTTGGTCACCCGTGTAGCTGAGTGGGTGTTGGTCACCCGTGTAGCTGAGTGGGTGTCCGTCACCCGTGTAGCTAAGTGGGTGTTGGTCACCCGTGTAACGAAGTCGTAGCTGAGTGGGTGTCCGTCACCCGTGTAGCTAAGTGGGTGTTGGTCACCCGTGTAACGAAGTCGTAGCTGAGTGGGTGTCCGTCACCCGTGTAGCTAAGTGGGTGTTGGTCACCCGTGTAACGAAGTAGGGTGTTAGTCATCCGTGTAACTACAAGTTGGTGAAAATAAAGAGTGTGCTACCCGTGAAGTCGTCTCCTGCCGAGTTACTACTTTACACATGCATGCATTGTCTCACCTAGGAAATGGTGTAACAGCAGGATGCGAGATGAAACAATAAATGTCTCATCTTAACCTAACCCACTGGTCTTCTTGGTTCTTTCGGTAAAGTCACGTAGAAGGGAAGTAATAAAATAATAAAAATAAAACAAGCTAGGAGCTTATAAGCTCCAAGCTTGGCAGTGTTTCATTCTTCACCTGAAGAAGGCTGCTTGCGTTGTAGCCGAAACGTCGTGAGAATTATTTTATTATGTTTTATTTTTATTATTTTATTACTTCCCTTCTACGTGACTTTACCGAAAGAACCAAGAAGATGAATCCCTGCAGTCACGAAAGCTTTAAATCGAAATCTAACCCACTGGATTAAGACCTGCCTTCAAAACAATGCTTCCCCTCTAAATCGAATAATCCGTAGCACCCACTTCCAGATGTAGCCACGAAATATCGTAGAACGTCAGAGAAATCCCGGTGGCGTGCAACGATGGTAATCATAAGCAGACCGTGGATAACATTTGTGAACCGGTGTGAACCTCTCGGTTAAGTTCAGTGGAGGCATTGGAGACATCCCACAGCTTCCTGTGCCTGGTCCATCAGACCTGGGCATGGACTTACGAGTTGCGACACAAAGACATGGGCAAGAAGGGAACTAGAAAGGGGACAATGGGCATTCAGTGTGTAATATGAGAATATATCCGGCTCACTGACGTATCACAACTTGTCATGGTGATTGGCTCTGCCGGTCCTGGTTTACAGCCAATGGGGGGAAGCCTGGGGGCGTGGCCCTGACGTGATGGAAGGGTGACAGCTATGGAGATTGGTTCTGCTGGCTTTGGCCTCAGCCAATGGGGAGATGAGTCAGGGGCGTGGTCCCGGGAGCTGACGAAGGAGCCTGGAAGATTCCATGCAGGCTAACGAGGATTGGCGGAAGCGTACCACGTGACCCGGGTATTAAATAGGGGTAGAGAGGAACGACACGGGGGTCAGAACGGGAACCAACGGAGGAAGGGGCCACGCGGGAGCGGGGCTCCAAGTTGCCACGTGGCAGTGCGTCTCTCTCGGTCTAGCTGTCCCTTCACGTTGCCTATCAGCAGCGTGAAGTAGCTGTAACCCAAAGTGAATAAAATACGGATTCCAGAAGTCGTCTCAAAGAGCTTTATTACAAGTGGATGAATGGAATGCAATCCCTACTCTGTCTTTGAATTGTTCCAAACACGTACTGTTGGCCAATCTCTGATATATCTCTCAAAATGTACCGCTTTGCGACTCGCAGATGGCAGTGAGGCGGTGTTTGTGGAGCTGTCAATCTTCTTCATGGAACATTTTTGCCCACTCTCCGGATCAGGCCATTCCCTTCCAAAGCACACACTTTAATTTCGGAAATGGAATTTATCTTTGCCGATATTTGGCGTATCCCTCGTCCTTGGTTATTTAGTTATAAGTCATATAGCCACCTCTGATTTTTCATCAAACCCCATTACATATCGCAGGGAAGAGGAATAACTGACAATGGCAGAAGAGGGGGCAACTGCATGTATATGCATTGTCTTCAGGGGTGTGTTATTATGCAACTGACTTACACATTTCCCAAGGCAACTACCTCAAAAAGGGGGACGACTCTGGGTAAACCAGGGCCGGTGGCAACCCCCAGTTACCAGCATAATGACCGATACCTGTGAATAATTCAACAGTGGCATGGCGGAAGATACGAGTTGAGATTCAGTGCAAAAGGTGGCACATCAATGAACACCAGAGCGCACACTTTAAACTACCCAGCCATTCGGGAGACGTGTCAACTTGCTACTCTCTCTCCCGCGCACAAGACAAAGATCCCCCACATAGCCGTAACAGACTGTAGGGGCAAGTGCTGTTAGCGAGCACCTATGAAGGCCGGCACGGCACACGAGGGGGTGGGTGGCCAACACCACGCCCGTCCGCCTTTGTCTCCCCAGTGGCGATGTTTACACATCGCACCAGGTACTCATTTGAGGCTGAGTCGACCTAGGGGACGCCCAGGACCGGTTCAGATAATCGCCGGGTTCATAGCGCAGCGCGCTAACTATCGCTCCCCACTCTCCCGCGCACGCACGCACGCACGAACGCCCACACGCACAAACACACGCACACGCACGCACGCACGCAAATACTCACGAAAGTGAGCGTCCTCCGGCTCTCACAGAGAGCTCCACAGCAGCCCAGGAGCCCCAGCAGCAGAAACACGGCCCCCACGGCCAAAATCACGTGCACGCTCCTCAGCAGCAAGGGATGATGGGAGGAGACGACCTCGGCGACCCCGCCAGGGTCCGCCACTGCCCACACGCCCACCGCGACCAGGCAGAGTCCCGCCAGCTGTCAGACGGGATTCAATTAGCGGCTTGCAGACACCCAGAGCCTGGCAGCCAGGAATGCTCGCCAGCAGCCTCGTGGTATTCCAGGACTGCAAATATTATTAGTTGGGAGTGAGGCTGGTGGATGGGGGCCGGGGGGGTGGGACTATTTTTAAAATTTGTCATTTGGGATTTGTGTGTTTCTGTGCTGTTGTTAGCCTGGCGTAGGCTGCTCCGAGGTTCTGGGTGAAGTTGAGTGGCAGTTGGTAAAAAAATAAAAATTTATGTTCTGCCGTTCAAAGAAACATCGTTTAAAAAGATAAACAGTTCCTGCAATGAGAGGGATTTATGTTGTTGTTGTTGTTGCTGCTGCTCAGGTCACAGTCAGCTCTTCTCTAAACGTTTTACAGTGACTCGTAAAACAAAAACAATTCTAGAAACTTCTTAAATGCCTTTGGGGCAAGGTCACTGAGATATATAAATGCCGTTCAAGTGCACTGCTCAGTGATACAAGCCACGGAGCATTAGCACTATATGATCCATCGTAAACGTGAAAATGTGAGGTAATGTTAACACATGGCCTGCCAGCTGATTTACTTGAAACCAGTAATGAAACTTCAAAAGGATTATGGACAGCAGGAGGTGTTACTGCTAAGCCTATGTATTTGGAAGCTTACGTGCTTAAAAAGCCTGTGCAGACACGAGGGTTGTGGCTTACAAAGATAAGGGCGTTGAAGAACACCATGAGGTACTTGACGCAGCTCAGGCATGTCCCCTCCATGCTGACGACAGCGCCGGTAGGGAATCCTGGATCGTAGCGTTTGGCGTTGGGCTCTGGAACAGACAGAAGATGCCGCATGAAGCTCGGGTACGTAGGCAAGCGAGGGGATGATCCGCATTTGCATTCCCAGGCAAATTTATGTCTCTCTTCACCAAAAACCTCTGGGCTCACGCAATGATGGATTCCGATTTAAAGCTTTCGTGACTGCAGGGATTCATCTTCTTGGTTCTTTCGGTAAAGTCACGTAGAATGGAAATAATAAAAAACTAAAAATAAAACATAATAAAATAATTCTCAACCTCCTCCACAATAAAATAATTTTCAATTCTCATGCGTTGTGGCTGAAACGTCGTGAGAATTATTTAATTATGTTTTTTTTCCATTCTACGTGACTTTACCGAAAGAACCAAGAAGACAATGGTGGATGTTTTATTTATTTAACGAAATAGGTGGTGCGCCCAGCCGGTTTCGTTCCTGGCCACGGCCATGTCACCGGTGGTGTGAATGACCTCTGAACCGATCGTTAGGCCCCTCTACTACACCCAATCCTCACTGGCCATCGTGGTGAAGCATAGTCGTGCAACCCACACGATGGAGATGGGATAAGGATGCCTTTATACAGCATCGAGTTACATATCGTTCGCGTATTCATAAAGAGTTTAATTGACAAACTGGCTTAATGAAAAGGCAAAGTGAGAAACCTATTGAGCTGTCAATCTCCGTTTAAAAGCAAATGTCTTTAAACACAGCACCATATCTGCCAGAGTAGGAACAACGGGAAATAGATATGAACAACAATACATATTTAAAATTACATTTACAAAGCGCCTTGCATACAACTACAACTTACTCAAGGCAATTTACATCACGCGCACACACACACAAACATTGGCCAAGGTGGGGAAAACAATCCAAGCAGTAGAAACGCTAATTCAGAGAACCCAAAAAGCAAGTGACTGTGAATGGACGTTTGAACGTTGAACTTCTCTCGCACCGTACGTAGCCAACGGCGCTAACAGGAGGCGCGGGGATTTAAACGCCGACGGTCGTCTCCAAGCGGCAGACACCACGGGGCGAGGCGATGGCAACGCAGCGAGGGGCAGCGCTGCGCAGGAGGCACCGAGAGCCACCGTGCGGAGGGAGCAGCCGCGTCCGGGAAATGGCCAGGGGTCACCGGCCACCGCAGAGCTCAAACTAAACTAACTAAATCAAATTTCGATTTAAAGCTTTCGTGACTGCAGGGATTCATCTTCTTGGTTCTTTCGGTAAAGTCACCTGAGGACGGCTGCTTGCGTTGTAGCCGAATCGTCGTGAGAATTATTTTATTATGTTTTATTTTTATTATTTTATTATTTCCCTTTTACGTGACTTTACCGAAAGAACCAAGAAGATAACTAATCATTTTTTTTTAAACCAGGTGGGTAAGGCCGACTGAGCCACACAGCTCTTTTTCAGTAAGCGACCTGGCCACAAATGATAGCTCAACGGAGTGGCTTATCGCGTGGCAATGTGTCGCAGCCAAACACTCCAAACGCACGTAGATTTTAAATGATGGGGAAAAAACCGGAGGAGCTGGATGAAAAATCAACGCGACCACGAGGAGAGAGAACATTTAAACTCCAAATATACAGGCGTCAGGGTTGCCATCAAACCCATGACCTCCTGTGTACCAGGCGAGGTGTTTAACGTCTGGTAAAATAAAACAAAACATTAACATTTAGTCGTTTAAAAATCATGGCATCGCATTAAATCATCATCTCCAGTCTGTTAAATATGTCCTAATCCACATAAGTGACAAGCCGGTCACCCCAACAGTGGACGACTCATCTTCTTGGTTCTTTCGGTAAAGTCACGTAGAAGGGAAGTAATAAAATAATAAAAATAAAACATAATAAAATCAAATAATTGTCACGACGTTTCGGCTATAACGCAAGCAGCCGTCTTCAGGTGAAGAACGAGACACTGCCAAGCTAGGAGCTTATATATAAGCTGAGTTGGAGGTGGAAGAAGAAGAGAGCCTTAACAAAAGAATGTGCATATCCCAGAGGAATTTAGCATATTCATGGGAAAATGCGTAGGAGGTGGGCGGGGGGGTTTTCAAAGTCATATTATGCCCATGTATTATGCAGGATCAGCAGCACCAAAGGGAGGAAGGGGTAGCATTAACAAAGGGAGGGCATATTAATAATATGTAGACGACTCGGCAAGGAAATGCAAAAGGACGTCGTGATCGACCGTGCCAATCGCTGCTCTGAGGTTAAGGAGAGCGAAAATGGACAATGCCCCAGTCAGCAGCAATGAGCGAGTTGTTTGTGTCCTAGACCAGGGCTATCTCTGTACTATGCAAAACCCATGAAACAGACTGAAGGGCTCATACTCTAAGGTTTTTATCGGTAAAGTCACGTAGGTAAACAATAGTAAAATAAAATAAAAATAAATGAAAATAAATCAGTAAATTCGAGTAAATTTATCTGTGACGGTCACACCTGAAGACGGAGACTTGTGTTACCTCCGAAACGTCGTGATTTAATTGATTTATTTTCATTTATTATTATTGTATTGTTTTTCACCTACGTGACTTTACCGAAAAAAATCTAAGAGTATGAATCCTTGCAGTCACGAAAGCTTCAAATCTAGACTGAAGGAAGGGGCTCTAAAAAACACATTTGAGGTCAAATAATGGTAATGCGATCGTTTTTCAACGATCTTCGAAAAAAATTGAACATTTTAGATTGGTCAAAAGTTGAGGTGGTTCGGGCACCTTGTATGGATGGATAGTCCCCCGATAGACACCCCCTGGAAACTCTTCCGGACACGTCCCACTGGGCGAAGACCCGTGGGCCGGGCCAGGACCACGCTGCTGCTTGCGGAACGACGTCGCTCGGCTGGCCTGGGAACGCCTGGGAAATCCCCATGAAGAGCTAGAGTCTGTGTGTAGTAGTGTACAGTAGTGTAGTGTATGGTGTAGTCTAGCAGTGTATAGTGTAGTGTAGTACTTGTATAGTTATGCAGTGCTGGAGTCTGTGTATAGTTCTAGATTTGAAGCTTTCGTGACTGCAAGGATTCATATTCTTCGGGGGTTTTTTTCGGTAAAGTCACGTAGGTAAAAAAATAAAATTCATAAAAGTAAAATTAAAATAAAATAAAAATCATGACGGAAGCTTGTGTTGCCTCCGAAACGTCGTGATTTTTATTTTATTTTTTATTTTACTTTTATTAATTTTTTTTTTTACCTACGTGACTTTACCGAAAAAACCCAAGAATATAGTGTATGGTGTAGTCTAGCAGTGTATAGTGTACTGTAGTACTTGTATAGTAATGCAGTGTTGTAATCTGTTGCCAGGGCAAGGGAGGTCTGCACCGTCCGACTCAACACACTGTCGCTGCGACTCTCACAAGCGGGATTGAGAAACGAACGGACGAAGATTGGTCAAAAGTTTGCTCAATGTACTTGGGTCTAAATTTGGGGGGGTGGTGTGGGGAGTTTTTTCGAGAGGAAATATGGTGGCGATTTAGAAAGGAGATGAAACATTGCCGGTGCGAAGTAACAACTGGGTAGAGATAAATGCAACAATTGAAGTTAGCAGTGCAAAGGTGGCGCGCACAAAAGGGTCCAAGGAGTTGGATCGAGTGAACGGGGGTGTTTGGCGTCGATTTGGCAATCAATGCAGCAACATCAGACGATGAGATATCTGAATAATTCGCCAAATGGGGGGCACGCTAATGTGTCTGAACACTCAGGCAGATCGTATTAATTATCAGACATATTTAAAAGCACCATTACGCAATCACAAATATTCTAAATTCTATCACAGATGCGTTCAATGATGAATCCTAACAAAAAAACAAATATATTTCTGCAAAATTTATTCGGGGATAGATTTCATTTGATGCGGGGCCACATTTCCAAATCGACCAGCAAACTCGATCCGAAAGCGTGAAAGTCGTACGCGTGTCGCGTTTCAAGAACCACAATGGGTGGCGCTGTGACAGTGTTACGGTGATAATTCAAACTGCGTCACACATTTTAAGGACGAGTACGTTGGGTAAGTTCCAGCTCCACACTGTGTAGACCAGGGGTCGGCAACCTACGGCTCCGGAGCCGCATGCGGCTCTTTACAGGCTGCTTCTTGACGATGAGTACGACTCAGATGCATTGCGGCTCTTGAAATACTGAATTTTGTACCGAATTGGAAAGAAATGGCTCTTCTTGTTATTTTGGTTGCCGACCCCTGGTGTAGACGAAACGCAAGCCTTGAAGCATGACCTTGTTTAAAGGTGGTGGTGGGAGGGTGGTGGTGGTGGGAGCGGTATACGAAAACCTCAGGGAGTGGTGCAGAACATTAAATATAAAACAAACTTAAAAAACTGTCAAACGCCCAAACAGAATCATTCGCGATATGATCTTCTTGCGTCTGTCATGAACTCTGCTCCGGCTATCACCCCCCCCCCCCCCCCAATGTACAGTGTATGAGGAAAGACCCTGATGCGCATCACTTTTCTTTAGCTTACACTCGTGGATAGAAAATATGTTCTACTCATAAAATAGACCGGGGAGGGGTGGGGGAGTTTAGCTGCCCCCACCTCCACTCGTCCCCTCCCCTTCCAAATGCAGTATGGGACTGATGAAATCTATCGTGAGTGCACAGTGAAAGTTGGGTAAACCCATGGCAGGGTGACTGACTGCAAGAACAAAGTCACGCTCTAAACTGTCCTGGGCGGTCCAATACGAAACTAAAAGTGTGTTTGTTATTTTATCAGGTTGAGGCCCACTGCTCCTTCTTCAGAAGCGCCCTGGCCATTACAAGCGACACGAAGTGGCCCATCATCATCCATCACCACGTGGTCATTCATAGCTACCAAATACTCGAAACGCACGTGGATTCTAAATGTGGTCCAAGATGTCTTGTGATCCCCAATTAATTGACCGCTCACGTGTTTTTCCCTTTGCATATTCATTTCTGTTTTAAATGAACCTGACTCAAACATATATTGATACTTTTACAGAAATGGGGGGCGGGGGGGAGCGGTAACAAGAGATCTGGACCACCCTGTGTACAGCATTGCCTGCTGCTCCCTGCCGTGTCGCCCATTGAACAGCCCGTGCTGCTGATCAGGAGCGGTGTCTCTCGTAAACGAAACGTCGGGTCTCTTAGCCCCTCTTGACCATCGCGTTCCAACTGCAGCACTGTCGTTCCATGCACGCGTTTATGCATTGCGGAATATCTCCGTCCGCCCGTCTGTCCGTGGCTGAGTGGGGTGGAGTCGTGGTGGGGGGAGGGGGCATGGTGATTCTCACGAAGGTCATCCATAATCAAGGTTTTTTTGGGGGTTAGAACGTGCCAATTCGTGCCAATTCGGTTCTAGTGCAGCACACCGGTTGTGTGTTGCAGAGCAAATCAACAACATGGACAATCTGAGTACGACGTTTCACCAGTAATTACAACTAGCTTCATCAGGCGACGAATTGGCATGTTCTGTTTACGTGACAAACCTTACTAATTGGCTGTGTCGGCTGGTGGCGGGTTTAACGACACATTTATATTTACGCAATTTAATCCAAAAAAAACCTATATTATGGATGATATTGTTCGCGAAAGCCTAAACTGAAGTTGATACAATTTGAACGAAATTCGATCATTAAAAGTCGCGTCGCCATTGTGTACTCAGCCTATTGGATATTGCTCACGTTTATTAGAAGGGATTCCCAACACCCAGAGAAACAGAGAAGGACTCGAGTACTGGACTGCGTTTGCCCATGGAGTGGAGCGGTGGTGCTGCACTTTGATCGCGGTATACCCGGGCAGGGCTGGACGATTCGGGGAAAATATCAAGGCGCTCTTCCCCCTCCATCCATCCCAGCTTAAATAGACGCTCCAAGCCTGGGGGTGTCATTCAGACTATCTTCTCGACAGACCTGTTCTTCACCTGAGGACGGCTGCTTGCGTTGTGGCCGAAACGACGTGAGAATTATTTTATTATGTTTTATTTTTATTATTTTATTACTTCCATTCTACGTGACTTTACCGAAAGAACCAAGAAGAGAAAATATATAATTGCGATTTTTCTGACAGACATTGCGATTGCCATTTGATTTGCGATTATTTTTTTTAAGTCAAGCTTCAGTTCAATAATTACTGTGTAATACATTTCAAACATGTGATGGAGCATTACCACATGATACCATCGAAATATGAACCGCTCTATATATTCTAATGCATGGATGATAACTTAAAAGATAAGAATTGCTTGCAACATGTATTTATAAAAATGTTGTAATTTAAATAGAACAATCAAACATGGAACAATTGTTAACTTAAATAAAGTTATAATGAAATAAAAATAAACAATTCCAATAAGAAAGTAAGAGAATTTTTCAAATCGCAAAACATCTCAGCCTTTGCGATTTACTCATCGCATTGTTTCAAATTGCGATTTCGATTTGAAATCGATTAATCGTTCAGCCCTACACCCGAGTTCGATTCCCAGACACCACGAGCAGCATCAGTGGCGAGTGATACCTGAACTTGTTTTCATGTAGCCCGCATTGACCAGCGTGGTCAAGTATCATCCAGCAGTAAATTGACTAAGGTGTGTACACTAATTACTACACATTATTAACGCTAGACGCACGTTGGCTTCCATACTGCGTAATTAAATACTTCCTAGGACAAACACACACTTTGGAAGGCGTTGCAGAAGCCCCGCATTACAATGATTCCCAACGTTTCTACTCGTGAGACCATTAGACTACAGCTAGGAGAGAAGATCACAGTCGTCGTCGTCATCACCGTCATCTGAAATGCCCTCGCTGCCAAGTGAATCCTCAAGGCGAGAGAGGTGGGCAGGGAGTGGCAGACGAGGGGGGGGGGGGCAGTCGCGTTGTTTTATGTTGATTCTGTTGTACAGCCATTTGTCAATCCACCCACTGCTGGATGAAGACCTCCCTCCCCACGCCTCCTTGTCAGCCAGACGGGGGGTGTTGTTGTTGTGTGACCAGACTTGATGCTGATCGCTCAGTGCAGGATAGGCTGCTAAAAACTCAACTATTCTTTGTTTGTTCCCGCTAAGGCCCACTGAGCAATGTAGCTCTTTTTAAATCCTTTATATTAAGTTCACTTGCTTGCTTGCTTGCGCGCTTACGACCGTGCATATCTTTCGGTCGTTTTTAACCCACTTCCCGTGATCCAATCGAGCTGACATTTTGCACATAGACTCGTTGTGCGTGGCAATTTATTTTCGTGAAATTTTTTCCCCAAAATTTTACACTTTTTAGGAAAAAATAAATTATATTTAATTACCAATTCCTTAATGGTGACAGGCAATCATCTGACCCATAGGTGGCAGCCATCTCAAGCCAGAGGACGAGAGGACTCTAGCCGCCACGCGTATAAAGGATTTATAGTGAAAAACTTTGTTTTTACGGGTTCATTTTTTCAGACGCGACGTTGGCCATCACAAACGATAGGTAAACGAAGTGGCGTATGGTCGCGTGGAAATGTACAGCAGCCAAATACTCTAAACGCGTGATGGTGATTCTAAGTGTGGAGGGGAAAACCGGAGGACCCGGAGAAAAATCCATGCCGCCACGGGGAGAGAAACACGCGAAGCTCCAAATATACATGAGTTCAGGGTCGGGATCGAACCCACGACTTCCTGTATACCAGGCGAGGCAGTTAACATCTCGCCACCGTGTGCCGCTTGGCCAGTGATGGTTGGCCGTGGCCGCGAATTGAACTCTGCTCGCCGGGTTCGTTCACACAGCGCAGCGCGTCAACCACCGCGCCACCCGAACTATCGTGAACATTAGGCTACAGCTCAATCAATCATCTGACCCTAACGCAAGCCCCCATTCAATTAAAATTATTTGCGCACTAATAACGAATGTGCGCGTTGGCGCCAATGCGGCATCGCCAAATAACTTTTACGCAAATTACAATTTGCGTAAAAACAAGGATTGCGTCGAAGTGGCCGTTTTCAAGACTGCTGGTGGAGAGGCCTCGACACAGGCGTGGTTTCTCTGTGTGCCTATGTATGTGTCTCTCTCTATGTATCTCTGTGATATCTGTCTCTGCTTATATGTCTGTCTATATGTCTCTGGTTCTGTGTTTTATCTCTCTCTCAAATTTAGCATTCTCAGGAAGAACGTAATCAACCAGGTAGGGTGTTGACTGTTATGTTATCCGACTCTCTGTTGTATTACATTACATTTCTAAGTATACAAGATTTGTGTTTCGATTTCATTTATACCTGATGACGATTGCTTATGTTGCAATCGAAACGTCGTATGCTAGTATTTAATCTATTATTTTCTCTTTATACGTGACGAACCAAAGAGTAATTCCTGCAGTCACGAAAGCTCCAAATTAAGTTTGAGAGGGGGGGGGGGGTGGCTGAAACAGCGGGAGGGAGGGGGAGGCTATTGTTGAGCCAGAGTCGTGTGAGACAGGGAAGTGTATTGTCCCCGGGACCTGCTCTACGGTGACGACTTTAATAGCGAGGGACTCTCACCATGACGGTGAACACAGTCTCATCACCGCGGCGCGTAAACATCATCTCTCGCTTGTTAAACGCAAGAGACTGGCGCCCCCCCCCCCCAACTTGTTTCCGCTCAACGTTTACTGCTGCAAAGTGTTCTAGCTGCATGAAGAATGGCAAGTGCCCGAAACGTCGACTGCCAATACGCTCACCAGCAGAAAAACCAGGCTAGAGTCTACCAGGCTACAGTATACATTGTAGACTGCCAGTACGCTCACTTTTATTATTATAGATATTTTTTTATCTACGTGACTTTACCGAAAGAATAAAAGAATATGAATTCCTGCAGTCACGAAAGTTTTAAGTTAAAACTGCTTGTGTTGCGGTCGAAACGTCGTGAGTTTTTTTTTTGTTACCAAAGAATATCAAAACTATATCGTTCTTTTTTCAGAAGCAGCCCAATATTCTAAACGCATGTTGATTATAAATCTGGAGGGAAAACCCGGAGAAAAAACATCCACGCGACCACGGAGAGAGAAACATACAAAACTTAAAATATACAACAGCAGGCGTCAGGGTCGAGATCGAACCCACGACCTCCTGTATACCAGGCAAGGAAGTTAACATCTCGCTACCGCGGCGATTATACCTAACCCACTGCTGTTGTTGATCATGGAAGTTGTTCGACCATACTTCACCAAGATGGCCAGTGGAGGTTGGTGAACGAGGGAGTTCGGGACCTGCTGTTCAGATATTTCTAGCCACTGACGTTAGCCACTCGAGTGCAGTACTTTGGCCAAATGCATCATTTATCCACCGCAATCAAATCAGTATGAGCCCCCGTCTCATTTTCCTTAATACGAGACATGAGTCTACTAGACACAGCATGTCCTTCTCATGTACGCACGGAGAGAGAGATAGAGAGAGACAACTAATGGAGAACATGGCAGAGTGATAGATCTACGAATATATTCGTACCGGAAACCCGCTTGAAATAGTGTACTCATTTTAACGGTGAAAAAATATACACAACACGGACTGATATTGTGTTATAACTGCTTAATAGATAACAAACTTTAAATCTAGAAAGATAACATAAATCCTGAGAACCAACTTCCCACCAGATAAAATAAGAAAGATTACACTTGATGACAATTATCTATTGTAGATAAAGTATTCAGTTCATTATTAATTGTATTCAGTTCATGTTATGGGATATTATACAAATGTTTATTATTTTGTTAAGTTTAGGCAAAGAAAATATGCTACAAGCTAGACTCATAGCAAATACACATGCCACAGCCTACATTGAATACTGCATACGGCCAATATTAAGGAGCAATATATCTAAACACTGACGTATGCTTTTGCGTTATTCTACAACTTTTACAACATTGCAACAATTCAGGACCATATGTGAGAGATTTAACTCTCATCCGGCATTGGCCAAACTTTAAAAAAAATACACGTGTGTGTTTGAAGCTTCCTAGCCAAGCACAACAAAATACGTAATCTCTTCTTACCTTGCGGTCGATTGAAAACAACCCAAATCGCCTAAAACGAACGGGTCAATTACGAACACGCGAAAGCCACATTTGGCACCAAACGCTTCTTGAAAACAAACGAACAAATATATAAACCCTCCTCCCACCGTTAACGAGAACCTTAGCAGTACTCTAACGAAGCATTTAGCTGAAGAGTAAAACTTCGTTGGAGCCGAGATCGCGGAGCATGGCCCTGGGTTCGGTTGCTCCCTCGTAAACGGTAGCAAGAAAACAGGACACGCCTGTCCATCACCACGATTCCAGATGGAGCCCAACGCAAGCGTCCGTGGCCCCTCCCTCCTGGCACCGATCCAACAACGGGAAGCATCGCACCCAAACCTTCACCCCCCCCCCTCCCCACAGCTTTTCCCACCCCCCCTCACCCCCATTTGAACGAAACGTCCACGACAACCCTCCATCCTCTCTCCCAAACCCCGTGCTACCTCCCCCCCTGCTCCCAAAAAAAGTCATCATACTTCCCGTCCTCTCCCCTCCCTCCCTCCCCCCTCCCCCCTCCTCCCCCCTTTCCCTCCCCTGCTCTGCACAGACCTTGCAGTCGTTGCGAAACGTGCAGAAGGCAGGAAAGAGACACGGGGGGGAGGGCGGCGGCGGCGGCGACCGGGGGGATAAGGCCAGGCTTTAGAGTGGCAAAGTCGGATGCTTCGGGAGAATGTGAATTGGTGATGTTGTGTTGCAATCAACGTCCACGCCAATGCGTGCTTAGGAGGGTGTGAGATCTGCCGAAGCGAGCTGCCCAGCCAGCGGTCGGGGGAGATATACTCGCTCCCGCCGTGCATTCACAGACTTTGGCCACGCTGGCTGATGAGTGCCTCGGTTGGTGAAACCGCTCGCCTGGCCGATGCTAAGCCGTCCGTAGCCACCAGAAAAGAACGACTCACGTGGCCCAAGATTCACAGCGCAGGGCGCGCAAGCATGGCACCAGCTCTTCGTTCGTTTCGACATCCCCCCTACCCACCCTGCCCCCCCTCCCTTTCCCCACGTATTGTTGTTATCATCTTAAAGCGGTGCATTCCAGTTGGGAGTGCCTGTGCTCCTGATTACATTCCTCCTTTGAGATATCTCATGATAAATAATTCGTGACTTTCAAAGTACCTCTATCAGTAGGGGGGCAGATAGGAAGGAAGTTTTGTTTTTCCGTCCACTGCACCTCACCAGTGTGTATGTGAGCGTTTATTTTAAGATAACCAACCAGTATAAGACAATCGTGTGCTCGCATAGGGCATTAAACAAAAGTGAGTGTAAACATTAAGTCATTCAGCCATAGAGTATAAATGTTTTTTTAACGTCTGCAAGCATACTTATTGTATAGAATAGGAAATTAACGACCCAACAATTTTTGTTTTACGGATGTGCTGGAAAGAAGAGCCCGTAAAGTGTATTTGGCCTACTCTTCCTCGCTGGCCAGACGTCATGTGACCAGTCGATTCACCATTGTGTACACATTTACTGTTTACCGAATCAGAATGTTGATTGATCCTGGAGAAATCGGATGATCTAGGAAGCTCTTTTTCACACATGTCCAGTCGGGGCGGATGAGATCGTTACAGCGACTAAACAATACACAAACAAAACTAAAGAAGTGCAAAGTATGGGGAAGGGAAGTAAATAGGTTGAACCTATCTACGTGACTTCACCGAAAGAGCCACGAACATGAATTCCTGCAGTCACGAAAGCTTTAAGTCAAGATTTAAGGTAAGTAAAAATCACTAAAATAAATAGTAAAGTATATAAGTTCAAATTGTGTAAGTATTCTAGATTTGAAGCTTTCGTGACTGCAAGGATCCAGACTCTTTGGTTTTTTCGGTAAAGTCAGGTAGGTTAAAAAAGAAAAATAAATTAAATCACGACGTTTCGGAGGCAACACAAGCCTCCGTCTTTAGGTAAGTATACCAATTTCTAAGCTTGGGCAAGGAAGCAAAACAACAGCAAAAAGAGTCCCAGACCAGCCCAAGACAACACAGTCCCTCAATAAATTTGCTAATTAGAATGTAACTGTCAATACATGGGTAAGGATGAAAGCCACGAATCGCATTCGCAAACGCAGTTTTATGCAGCACTAACCTTCTACTTCAGGATAATTTTTTGTTGAAGGAAGATTTTACAAAGTTAAGGGAGGAAACGAGGTTGTTCCAAAACGTTGCTGCCGCAACGGCTTTGTCATCCATTTCTATTCTTGTTTATTGGGATAGTTAAAAGGCGATTAGACGGACGTCTTACGTTTCTTGAGTTTGACAATGGGGGTTAATGAATTGTACGTGCAGTATGTTGAACCTCTTTCGTCTCGCGCGTAGCCAATAGTGCTAATCGGAGCTGCTTAAGTGTAGCGCAATATTTTGGGCGGACAGGGAGAGGTGTGGTGGAGGATTTAAAGTAACTTCTCCCCCCTGCGTTTCAACTGCTGAGAGCCGGGAAAGTGAACCAGCAACCTCTGTGTGCAGGCATACTAATTGCATAACGTCCATAATGATCACTGGTCTTCCTTTGCGAAGATTGAAACGTGGCAGTCGTGCGTAAAAAAAAGAGGGTGTTGTCAGGTTAACCCAAGTTCAATCGAAACAATAACGAAACGCGGCAGCAAAAAAAACCTACAATAGTCGATCGGAAGCGTGGAACGGAGGCTTTGTCTGAGAACGCTGGGCACACGGCACAGCTGTTTCCGTTTCACTGACAGGCGAAGAGCCGAGATTTACAACTATTGTATTCGCGAGAGGCACTTTTATTTAATGTGCATTTTTTATAGGGCATTAGTTAAACAGCACCCCACCCCCCACCCCCCACCTTACCCCTTCAGTAAACAAGCACAAGTCTGAATATGTTGCCTAATTGAACCATTGGAGTTGTAGCTTGAAGAGAACTTGGTGGTGCGGTTCAGTGGTGCAGCGACTGCGGGAGGCACGAGTGTCCAGACACACAGCCGCAATGAAATTAAAACTAATTATCCACAATAGAGGTTGTTTTGGGGGTTAGATCGCCTAAATATATAAACGCGTCGCTTTTGCTTCCTAGATTTGATTTATTTTATTTTGGTCATACTTTGTACACGATTATAATGAGGCGGATAAACACTGCCGCTTAATAGTCGAGGTTTTGTGGGTTAGATCGCGTAAATATATAAATGTGTCGTTAAAACCCGCCACCACCCGACACAGCCAACTAGTAAGGGTTGTCACGTAAACAGAACGTGGCCAATTCGTCACTAGTACAGCACGCCGATGTGTTGGAGAGCCAAGCCACAACATTTACAAACTGAGTACTCAGATTGTAAATGTTGTGCCTTGTAAATGTTGTGACTAGGACAGCAGATCGGCTGTGTCGGGTGGTGGCGGGTTTTAACGACACATTTATGTATTTACGCGATCTAACGCCAAAAAAAAACTATTATGGATGATATTGCTCGCGAAAGCCTCCTACGTGTTAAAACGAATTCGTGATGCGGCGTTGACAGTCGGTGCACAAGCACACACAACAAGTACTCGAAACACGTTCTTCAATAGCGCTGCCCCTTGCAGAGGAAATGCAGATATGGTAGGCGACGTGAAGGGCATTGGCCTTTATTCGTAGCAGACGGGCGATGGCCTGAAGCATATATATGTTTTAGATTTGGCTCAGAGACACCCACACAACTGTGCACGGCTGCGCTAAGTTAATAGATGCGTGCAGCTGTTTTATTTATTTTCAATTAAGGGGAAAACCAACAGTGAGACACTTTGGCCTGCGTGACCGCAATTGAGGCGCGTGTACTTAAGTGACACATTTCCCGAGTGGCCAGAAACACGAACGCATTTGGCGAGGCGTAAAGAGGCAATCGGGGAGAGTGTACGCAGACACCAGATTTTGGGCACAACGCACGTGGCGTTTGTGCTTTTTGTTGGCCCTAGTGCGACGAGTGAGATCGTGATGCAAAAACAACAAGCTTGCAAAGGGCTCACACTGGAAGTGGAAACTTTAGATTCTGGCTTGAATCGTAAAGTGTGCTGCCTGATCGGTATAGCTCCAATCGAACAATTAAGTCGGTCAAATTTATTGAATGTGATCTTCATTTGAAGTTTTCATGGCTACATATATTGTATTCTACTGTAGCTTTTTGGAAGAGCCGTGTATAAAAAGAGAAAATTTTATGGTCGACTGAAGCTCGCCACAGCAGAACAAGCCACACGGTTGCTTGGGGCAGAGGCAGTGCTAGGCTTGTCCATGTTACCATGTCCGAGGATGAGAGCGAGACTGACTTTCAAAACGCAACAGAACTCAGGTTGATTTAAAGTTTGGCCGACCAACACCTCTGTTACTTTAGACCGAGGGTGATGATGGGGTAAGTCCACAATCACGTGATTTCTTTTTGCACACGGCTGTTCCGAAAATCTCTACAAAAAAATGGAACTAAAAACTACATAAACAAATATTTTAGCAAGTAATGCCCACTGAGCTATATAGCTCTTTTTTCAGAGGCGACCTGGCCACACGTAACAGCCCAATGAAGTGGCTTATCATTTGGAAACGTATAGCAGCCAAATACTCTAAACGCATGACTCTAAATGTGGAGAGAAAAACCGGAGGACCTGTAGAAAATGCCATGCGACCACGGGGAGAGACATGCAAACTCCGAATATACAGGCGTCAGAGTCGGGATTGAATCAAGACCTCATGTATACCAGGCGAGGTAGGTAACCTCTTGCCACTGCAGCACCGAATGTGGTTTGGCTTTATTTGCTGAACGTGATAGGATATCCACTAGTACAGCAGCAATTCAGCGGCTCGGCACACCCTGCAGAGGGCCCAACTCCATGCTGACCATAGTGGGTAGCTGATGACCTGACCTATGCGTAGTGCCCCCTACTGACAACTCAGCAATGTTCCTCCAGCTCTCAGAGGAAAATACAAATTTGAGTCATATCAATAACGCTTTAATTCTTAATGTTATTCGCTAATTGTATCCCGATTGTGCTATCGGCATCGTGTCATGCGATGAAGAATCTATTTAGATTCCTCGTAGAGCAGTGCAACGATTTTTGTGTCAAGGGTGGCCCACAGAAGCAGATATCACAGAGCCACTTCTGAGGTCACTTTCATCTCTTTGCTGATTCCCCTGCCACTGAGATTAACGTTTGTCACACGACAGTCAAACCGATATTGCTATTTCTCAGAGTTAGAATATAGCCAAATGAAGTGCAGAATCAAATTAAATGAGATGTTTTTTTGTACAATCATTGGACCAGGCTGAGACCATCAACTCAGCAC